CCGTGTGCTAGCTGTATTTTCTTTTCTTTTAAAAAAAATACATTTTATTGATTTTTTACAGAAAGGAAGGGAGAGGGATAGAGAGTTAGAAATATCCATCAGCTGCCTCCTGCACACCCCTTACTGGGGATGTGCCCGCAACCAAGGTACATGCCCTTGACCGGAATCGAACCTGGGACCCTTCAGTCCGCAGGCCGACGCTCTGTCCACTGAGCCAAACCAGTTAGGGCTGTATTTTCTTTTTAAAAATATTTTTTATTGATTTCAGAGAGAGAAACCTCAATGTTTTTCTTTTTAAAAATATTTTTTATTGATTTCAGAGAAAGAAACCTCAATGTTGAGAATCATGGATCAACTGCCTCCTGCACGCCCCCTACTGGGGATCGAGCCCGCCACCCGGGCCTGTGCCCTGACCGGGAATCAAACCCTGACCTCCTGGTTCAGAGGTCGACGCTCAACCACTGAGCCACACCGGCCGGGCTGAGCTGTATTTTCCTGCCTGTTCGGGGGGCCAGGGATCAATGAACCGACCGTAGGAAATAGGTATTCATTCGATCCAGAGGCTGTGTCGGGATAGCTTTCAGATAACGCCCTATCCTCCCTCTGAGGCTTTATAGATAAGTCCCGGTTCCGTGTTCTACTGCCTCCCGTGCCCGTTAGCGAACTCCGTGTCAGGCACACGTGCTGGGCAAGGGAACAAGTACGTCACATCCTCCCAGACCCTCCTGGGTGCCTCCAGGATTTCCAAAGATGGAGCTCAGTTCTTACGGCGACGATAAAAACATCTGAGCTCGTCAGCCTGGTGGCTCCCAGCGAAGATGTCGGTGCCCAGCTGACGCTGTTCGTTAGCAAAGAGGCCGCCATCGCCATGCTCGGGAGGAACGGGCTGCCAGGGGAACGCCTGGGGATCGGGAGCGCCAGGCGGGCCGTTCCCTCCACACCCGAGCCTTGGCTTTGAATCTGGCATCAGACAAGGGGGTTGGGGGTGGGCGCAGGTTGCTCTCAGCAGCATCCGCCCAGCTGCCTGTGAGGCCCACGCTCCCAAGAAATGCCTCCCTCTGATGCTCATGGGCTCGGTGGGGTGTCACATAAATGCATGCAGACCCCTGGGCAGGTTGGCTTATTGCCGACAGCATCCACCTCCACGGAGGCGCAGCGGGCTCGGAGCAGCCGGAACAGCTGGTTCTGCTCACGTGTGCACGTCGTTCCCGTGTTCATGTCGTTCCCGTGTGCACGTCGTTCCCGTGTTCATGTCATTCCCGTGTGCACATTGTTCCCGTGTTCATGTCGTTCCCATGTGCACGTCGTTCCAGTGTGCATGTCATTCCCGTGTTCATGTCGTTCCCGTGTGCACGTTGTTCCCGTGTTCATGTTGTTCCCATGTTCATGTCATTCCCGTGTGCACGTCATTCCTGTGTCCATGCCGTTCTCGTGTGCATGTCGTTCCCGTGTGCACATTGTTCCCGTGTTCATGTCGTTCCCATGTGCACGTCGTTCCCGTGTTCATGTCGTTCCCATGTGCACGTCGTTCCCGTGTTCATGTCGTTCCCATGTGCACGTCGTTCCCGTGTTCATGTCGTTCCCATGTGCACGTCGTTCCCGTGTTCATGTCGTTCCCATGTGCACGTCGTTCCCGTGTTCATGTCGTTCCCATGTGCACGTCGTTCCCGTGTTCATGTCATTCCCGTGTGCATGTCGTTCCCGTGTGCATGTCGTTCCCATGTGCACATTGTTCCCGTGTTCATGTCATTCCCGTGTGCACGTCGTTCCCGTGTTCATGTCATTCCCGTGTGCCGTCGTTCCCGTGTGCATGTCGTTCCCATGTGCACGCCGTTCCCGTGTGCACATCGTTCCCATGTGCCGTCATTCCCGTGTGCATGTCATTCCCGGGGAGGTCGAGGCGTGTTCTGACTTCACATTCTAAGATGAGTCATGACAGCATCACTCAAACGCTGGGCTCCTTGCGAGACGTAAGTGAGGTTTGGGTCCTGAGTCCCCTCCCCTCCAGTCATCCCGAGGCCGCTCTGCCCTGCGTTGTTTAACCCACCGAATGCCAGGGCGGGTGTCAATCACCTGGCGGCTCCTACGTGGGCCGTCCCAGTGAATGGACGCCACTCACATCTCTTCTCAAGGCCTCCAGGGACTCCGCCAGCCCCTTTTTTAAAAATATATTTTTGTTGATGTCAGAGAGGAAGGGAGAGGGAGAGAGATAGAAACATCAGTAATGTGAGAGAATCATGGATCAGCTGCGTCCTGCACGCCCCCCGCCCCACTGGGGAACGAGCCCGAAACCTGGGCCCGTGCCCTGACCGGGAATTGAACTTGTGACCTCTGGGTGCACAGGATGTCACCCATCCACTGAGCCACACTGGCCGGGGCTGGCTGTGGAGCTTTTCATTTTTGCCTGCGTGTCACCCAGCAACCTGCCAGCTCCCGCTGGCCACTGCCTTATCTCGGATGGATGGTCGGCCCCAGTCCAGCTGGTGGGGGCAGGGACAGGAAGGGATTGACCAGGGAACTTGTATGCATATAGCGTAGCCCATGGACACAGACAATAGTGTGGTGAAGGCCTGGAGGGCGGGGGCTGGGTGGAAGGGTGCAAAGAGAAGGAGAGTGGGGGGCATCTGTACACTGTCAACAATAGGATATAGCCCTGGCTGGTGTGGCTCAGTGGGTAGAGCGTCACCCCGCGGTCTGCAGGGCTCCGGGTTCGATTCCAGTCAAGGGCATGTACCTCGGTTGCATGTTCCCTGGCCCTGGTCAAGGCGTGTGCAGGAGGCAACCGATCGATGTCTCTCTCACATGGATGTTTCTCTGTCTCTCCCTCTCCTTCTCACTCTCTAAAAATCAATGGGAAAATATCCTCAGCTGAGGATTAACAAAAAATAAAAAATGAAAAATAAATTGACAGAAAAAGATGATGAGGGAGCGTGGCCGCTGGGGCGGGCGGAGGAGGCTGGAGGCCCACACAGGACTCGCCCTCCTCCAGGGCTGGGTGCGGGCGTGGTGCGTTCTGTGTGCCCAGGGCCCCGAGACCCCGCTCTGCTCCCCCCCCACCCCAGCCCACCCACTCCTCTCCTCTCCTGGACCCGCCTCTGCACATTCCTGCTTCTGTTAGGACCGCACCTGAGCCGGGAGTCAGCCTGCCGGGTAGCTAGAGATCCCAGCCTAAACCAGCTCCCTCCCAATTCTTTCCTGGTCAATAATGATCATGTCTAAGACCAGAAAGACCAGTGAGCGCCGGAACCACGCACCTGGACACTCCCCGCTGGTCGTCCATTCAACACGGAAATAATGGAAAGCCTCTGAAGGTGCTACCCCAACTCTTTTTAGGAACCCCCCAGACATTAGGGGTCCCCACAGACAGGAATCAATGGGAACAGGAGCCCCCACAGACAGGAGCCCCCACAGACAGGAACCCCCACAGACATTGCTTTGTCCCCGGGTTTCTGGCCTGTTGGGGGGCGGAGGAAGAGGGTCCGTGTTTTACTGTCTTGCTCAGTTCATGGAACCGTTGCAGAGAGAGGCCTCAGGCTGAACAGCAGGTTTTAGAAGTTGGACTTGAGAAATGGTCACGGGCTGTTTTAACTAGAGCTTTACAGTGTCACCAAGTCGGCATCATCTTTTTTCCCTTTTCTTTTCTCTGCATCAGAATCGCCTGGGGACCCCAAAACCAGGTTGAATTCCATGTTCATTCAACCAGAAGGCCCTCGAGCGGGGCCAGGCGTCAGGGCTGAAACGAGGTGACCCACTGCATTAGAGAGAAAACCTTTTTGGTTTAAAAATATATCATTTCTAGCCCAGCCTGCGTGGCTCAGTGTCAACCCATGAACCAGGAGGTCAGGGTTCAATTCCCGGTCAGGGCACAGGCCGGGGTGGTGGGCTCGATCCCCAGTGTGGGGCGTGAAGGAGGCAGCCAATCCATGATTCTCTCTCATCATGGATGTTTCTTTCTCTCTCCCTTCCTCTCGCTCTAAATATCAATAAAAACATAGTAAAAAAACAAGGACCCTCGCGGGGAGGAAGGGGAGCCCGAGTGTAAGCCCGCTCCTCTCTGAAGGCCCCGGGTGCGGGCCCTGCGACCTCGGGTTTTGAAAGCGAGGCAGGACGGGGCTGAGCACGGGCGTGGCCTCCTGGGGTTTTGCTGCTGTTGTTGGATGGAGGTAAACATGGTGAAGTTTTTGTGGGTTTTGTGTGTGTGTGTGTGTGTGTGTGTGTGAATTTAAAATTTATTTTGAAAAACAAGCTTTAAAAACAAGAGAGTCAGAAAACACCCGTGGTTGGCTGGGACGAGGAGTCCCTCCACGGGGGTGCGTGGGAATGTTTGGGGTGATGGGGCTGCCTGCCTGTGCTGACACAACCGACAGACTGAGTTTGAAAAAATACACGTATTTTATTGATGTCAGAGAGGAAGGGACGGGGAGAGAGAGAGAGAAACATCCATGATGAGAATCATGGACCGGCTGCCTCCTGCACGCCCCACACTGGGGATCGAGCCTGCCACCCCGGCCTGCGCCCTGACCGGGAATCCAACCGTGATCTCCTGGTTCATAGGTCAACGCTCAACCAGCCAGGCATAACTCAACTTTTTTTAAAAAGGACTAAAAGGATAAGAGCCAAAAATGTACCCGATGTGAAAAAATACAGAGCTTACGGCTTTCTCTTGGGGAGAGTAAAAAGCTACTGTGGTGTAGAGAAAGGAACCGTAAAGGAGGTTGATTTGGAAGGCGTGGTTGAACCTTGTTTAAAAATATATATATCCCTGCGGAGACCTAGCCTGATGATTGTGCGGCATTTGTTTTTGCTGCTGTCCCAGGAGGCCGGCTTTATGTCTCCGCACCTGAGAGCCACCCTCTGGCTCAGGGAGAACTGGGGGGGCGGGGTCCCAGCCCCCAGGGCTCCTGACTCACCGCCTGACCCCGTGGCACCGGGCTCGCTGCTGACACGCGTAGGGTTGTCTGTCTGAACCTGCCTGACAGCCGCCATCTCCCGCCTTCCAGGGCTGCCGGCCAGACTCCCCGAGATCATGCTGGTGGGAACCCAGTCCTTCTCGCCCGGAGGGCCCAATGGCATCATTCGGAGCCAGTCGTTCGCGGGGTTCAGCGGCCTGCAGGAGCGGCGGTCCAGGCAAGTCCGCGGGGCTCCCCCTGGGGTGCAGCTGAGGAGGAGCCGAGCTTCGATGCTGTGCAGAGCATCTGTGTGCACGCAGCCTCGTCAGCGTGCGTGTGAGCACACACACACACACAAACATACATGCACACACACACGCACACACGCACACACGTCTTACTTTCATCTCTGCCTTGGAAAATATGTCAGCCACCCCAATGAAGCACTGTTGTTTCTTTTCTTTTTTTAAAAATATTTTTAATTGATTTCAGAGAGGAAGGGAGAGAGAGAGAGAGAGAGAGAGAGAGAGAGAGAGAGAGAAATATCAATGGTGAAAATCATGGATCTGCTATCTCCTGCACGTCCCCTACTGGGGATGAAACCCGAAACCTGGGCATGTGCCCCGACCGGGAATCGAACTGTGACCTCCCGGTTCATAGGTGGACGCTCAACCACTGAGCCACACCAGCCGGCTGGGCTGTGATGTTTCTTTTCTATCATTCAGCATTTCTCCTGCAGAGGAGGTGGCTGAGATATAGGAAAAGCTACGAGTGTATGGGGATAGCTCTCCCTACTCCCACCCACCCCTGTTTTTAGGTCTTTTGAGAAATATCACCCAAGGGTCTCCAATGTTTGAACCCGTTTGTCCTCTCCAAGCTACAACAGATTCGCCTTTTCCCAGGCACTCGCCGTTACGGAGCATTTTCTAGAATCTCCTCCAGTTTTTATGTCATCCCCACTGAGGGCAGATGTCCTTTCGTGAGGTTTTCCCCCTTTTTTATTTACTTTGGGGAATACCTAGATCATGCATGTGCCTGTTTGCGGGTGGATATTTGCATGTTTTCGTACAAAACAAGAAAGACTTGTAATTTATCCATTGCAACATCGTATGTTGTCCTGTTCTCACTAGTTTGATTTGCTACCCTTTTTTTTTCTTTTTCACCTTTTTGATCCCCTTCACCTATTGAGCTCACCACCCACCGCCACCTCTGGCAACCACCAAGCTGTTCTCTGTCTCTCTCAGCTTGGGGTGTGTGTGTGTGTGTAAATTACACATGTAAGTTAAATCATATGGCATTTGTCTTTCCCTGTCTGACTTCTCTCACTCAGCATAATACTCTCTAGGTCCATCCATATTGTCGCAAAGGGCAAGATTTCACTCTGTTTTATGGTTGAATAATATTCCGTTGTGTACATGCCCATCACAGTGTCTTCATTCATTCATTCACCTGTGGACGCTGGGGTTGTTTCCACGTCGTGAGCCCCTGTCCATGACACTGCAGGGAACACGGGGTGTGTAAATCATTGTGAGTTAGTGTTTTTGTTTCCTTTGGAGAAATACCCAAACATGAAATTGCTGGATCCTGGCTGCCTCCCTGCCACTCACAGAGACGTTGGGCTTTATGTTAAACCCAAACCTAACGTACTCCGTGAAAACAGAGCTTAAGAAAAACCCGTCAGTCCAGCCCTGTGTGCTGTGCTTTCACACTACACAGCATTAGCCATTTGTCCTGCTTATGGCGCTTGATCACAAAGGTAGTCATTCACACCCTAGTCTAATTTAGTAGACGTTCATGCCTGACGTTGCTGATGCACATGTTTTTTTTTTTAAGTCAGTGTATGTCCTTCTGCCTGTTTCTTATTTCCACCTGGGAGCGTGTGTCCTTGGTTTCCTGTGGGGTCCCAGTGACATGATACATTTTCACTCGGAGTGTTGTCACCTGACTGGAGGAAAGCACTGCCCAGCAACGCTTCCAGATTTCAGCAGTTACATCTACTGCCGAGAAACTCAGTGTGTGCTGGCTCAGCGGTGTCCTTCCACCGGGAACGGTGCCTTCCTCCGAAGACACAGACACAAACAGGAGATGACTGAGAGGCGTTTGCTCTGTGGAATTCTTTTGGGCGCCGGAGCCACAATTTCTGCTCTTTCTTCTTTCACAGGTGTAACTCCTTCATTGAAAATGCTTCTGCTCTCAAGAAGCCTCAGGCCAAACTGAAGAAGATGCATAACTTAGGGCACAAGAACAGCAGCCCCCCCAAGGAGCCGCAGCCCGCCAGGGTGGAGGAGGTCTACCGGGCCCTGAAAGGCGGACTCGAGTAAGAGCCCAGCCTCGCCGGGAGCCCACCCTTTCTCGGTCCTAAAGGCTGAGGGGTGGGGGCCAGAGGAAAAACAAATCTTCCGAGATCATTTTAAAATCTCCGTTTCTGTCGTAGATATCTTATTCTTCTTTTTGAAAAAATACATTTTTACTGATTTCAGAGCGGAAGGGAGAGGGAGAGAGAGATAGAAGCATCCATGATGAGAGAGAATCATGGACCAGCTGCCTCCTGCACGCCCCACACTGGGGATGGAGCCCGCAACCCGGGCCTGTGCCCTGACCAGGAATTGAACCCTGACCTCCTGGTTCATAGGTCAACGCTCAACCCCTGAGCCACGCTGGCCGGCGTATTTTATTCTTGCACCGTCATCGAGGAAGCCTTAGGTTAATCCCAAAGGTGGGACGTTTGTTGGGTTCGAGGTGATGCCCGTGACAGTGAGGAAGGTGAAGTAGCCACGTGGTTAACTGGCCCCGGGGAGTATTGGCTTCCGTGTAGCACTGTGCACGGGAGGCCTGTTTCAGCGCTTGCTGAAGACGGTTCTGGAACCTTCCCGGCTACATTCTCGGCCTCCTTTGCCCAGAACCCACCTGCCCGCCTGCGTGGGAACGTCGCCCACCCCAGTCAGTGCTGTGGAGCCAGACAGCTCTGTGGCCTCCCCGCCCGCTGGTTTTTCTGTGCCGGCGCGCAGCCTCGTGGGGGTCTCCTCTGACCACCTGGACGGACCCGGAGGCAGTGCTAGAGCCTAAGCTGAGCGACTGGGGAGCTGCAGCCCCTCGTCCCCCGCTGCCCGCAGAGCGAGCTCCGGCCCTGCCCCACGGAGGGAGGCCAGCAGCCCCGGTCCCGTCCGCAGCGGCGGCCGCGAGTTCACAGCGGCGCGTCCTCTTGTGTTCGCAGCGAGTACCTGGAGGTCCACCAGACGGAGCTGGACAAGCTGACGGCGCAGCTGAAGGACATGAGGAGGAACTCCCGCCTGGTAGGTGCCCGCGTCCCCGGGTGCTGACTCGTGGGTGTTTGTTTGTTTAGGTTTGTTGTTTTTTGGGTTTGTTTGTTTTTTGTTGTTTTCTGTTTGTTTGTTTGTTTGTTTTTGGCTAAGTGTCTTCTCCTACTGGATGGAGGTGGATACAAAGAAGAACCTTCCAGAAAAGCAGACCCACCCTGGCCAGTTGGCTCAATGGTTAGAGTGTCAGCCTGCAGACTGAAGGGTCACGGGTTCGATTCTGGTCAAGGGCATGAACCTCGGTTGCAGGCTCCGGTCGGGATACGTGCAGGAGGCAGTCAATGGATGGGTCTCTCTCTGTCTCGCCCCCTCCCTTCCGCTCTCTCTTAAAACAATCAATGGAAAAGTATCCTCGGGTGAGGATTAACAAAAACGAAAAGTACTCTTGCTGGGATTTAAAATAACCCAGATTTGTCCTCTTTTAAAGCAAATGTCAGAAAACCCAACAGAACCTTACGGCTGGTCATCGTCTCCCTGACAATGCAGGCACGCAGACCCATCCCTCTATTAATGTCAGTAGCAGTCTTGCCGAAGATACGTTTTAATTATTTTCATTTTTCATTTCAGGGTGTGCTGTATGACCTGGACAAGGTAAGTGACCGTTCTGCACTGGGGGGGACATAAGCCCGAGGTCCCCTCTGAGGGACAGCGGGAGCCTAGAGAGCGGTGACTTTTCTAAGCCCGGAAAACCCGTGCCTTTACCTCTGAGTTCGATGAGTAGGTGCCGCGCTCTCCAGACCCAGTGATTCTTTCATGGAAACGCCCCTGCTGTGGGCGTCTCAGTGCTGAGAAGTTTAAGAGGTTCCCAAGCGTTCGGAGGCCCTGCCCCGCCTTCTGTATAAATACCAGCCACCACCTCTCCCCGAATCAGAGAGCCCTCTGATCGGAAAGTGCACCGTTACCTTATGCTCCGCCAGAAGGAACCGCGATCGCAGTGACGCTGTGACGGTTTCCTTTTCCCTGAGAATGGGTGTTCTGCCCCCCAGTGACAGGACCCTTCGAAGCCCATTTTCAATGTGGGTCGTTGTAGTCCACGCGCTGCTCTCTCCACGCCTGTGTGTGGCGTCCTTCGCGCTAAATCACGGTGGGATCCGCTCGCGGACATCTGAGCGGGTGGTGAGAGGCAGCACGTGCAATAGTATCTGTAACGGACGAGAGGCGGCACGTGACCCGCCGCGACCCTGTCCGACACCCACAGGCGTAGCGATTGGACGACGCACCTCAAGTTCAGAGACACGGAGTGTGGAGCGAAGGGCGTTCCTCTCCGAGCTGATAAAATGTGCCCGTTGTTGGGGGGACTCGGGTCTGTTCCAAGGTGATGCCGTCCCCACAGAAACCCAGTGAGGCCATGACAGCCTCCCGGACGCGAATCACAGAGTCCAGTGGCCAGGCAGCCCATTTCTCAGCGTGTTTATCCAGGGTAGACGTTTAAATGCCCTTCAGATTCATACTGGAGACGCTAAGATAGCAGAGACAGGAGAGGAGGGGTGGCGAGCGCTGCGCGGGCCTCCCGAGGACGAGAGGGGAGAGGTGGCCGGTCGCAGGCCTGGACTCTGCGCTGTGATGACTGTCCTCGCTCACACGTCTCCCTTTCCTTCCAGCAAATTAAAACGATCGAACGGTACATGCGGCGCCTGGAGTTTCACATCAGCAAGGTAACTGCCGCCCCGGCCTTTGCCTGGTTTTCGGTTCCTGGTCAGCCCACCTTTGGCCTGAGCTTGGCCGGCAGTTCAGGGAGGGTTTCTTTATTATTATTGTTGTGGTTGTTGTTATTATTACTGATTTCAGAGAGGAAGGGAGAGGGAGAGAGAGAGACACATCAATGATGAGTGAGAATCATGCGGCTGCCTCCTCCCGCACGCCCCACACTGGGGATGGAGCCCACAACCCGGGCACGTGCCCTGACCGGGAATCGAACCGTGGCCTCCTGGTTCATAGGTTGACGCTCAACCACTGAGCCCCGCCGGCCGGCTGGTCCCCAGCATCCTTTCCTTTCCAGCCCTGTGACGGGCTTACACGGGGCGGCCACTCCTCTGCAGTTCCCACTCATGACCCCGCGACCGGGGCAGATCTGAACCGCGCCCTGTCTGCGAAGCCTGCTGAGTAGAACAGTGACACCCATGAGGTGCCGGTGGGGCCGGCGAGCTCGGACAGGTTGCTCTGTTTAGTTTGAAAAACAGCAAGAAGGACGAGGCAGGCGGTGTTTCTCCATCTGTCCGTCCCGTGGGTCCCGCGGTCTCGGAGCCGGGAGTGCTGTCGGCGGCAGGTCCCTGCAGGCCGCCAGCAGGCCCATCTCACGGGGTGAGGCAGCTAATCCGCTCACTTGCTGAGGCACCGCTTGGCTCACGGACGCACGCAAAGCCATCCTTCCTCCTGGAGCGTGACTCCGTCTGGCTCAGAGAGGCTGACACGTAACGAAAACAGAGAACAAACTTCTCCCTAAATCAGCAGTTCTCAACCTGTGGGTCGCGAGCCCTTTGGCGGTCGAACGTCCCTTTCACAGGGGTCGCCTAAGACCATCCTGCATATCAGATATTTACATGACGATTCATCACAGTAGCAACATGACAGTGATGAAGTAGCAACGAAAATAATTTTATGGTTGGGTCACAACATGAGGAACTGTATTTAAAGGGCCAGAAGGTTGAGAACCACTGCTCTAGTGGAAAGGAACAGACTGAGCCCTCGGGCTAGCGCAGGGCCCGGCGAGCGGGTTACGGTCATAGAGACACCGGTGGGGACGGGTCGAGGGGCGTCTCCGGAGACCCCAGGGGGACACGCCCAGCTGGCATCGATGGAGGCGCCGTGCGCGTGTTCCTGCATGTTGATGGCGCACGTCCCGCGTCAGAACGCTGGGGCCAGTCATTTGAAAGTTCGGATTCCCGGCCCAGCCCTGACCTAGTGAACCCACATCTCAGAACCCCCAGGCCCCGGGCCTGGGCTCCCGCATTTACCCCGCTCACCGGGGTGTCTCTGCTTCGCCTTAAAGTGTGGCCACCGCCCTCCATGCCAGTCGCCAGCCCAGAGATGCCGTCAGCAGGCAGGCCACCCCTCCAGGCCTTGCCCCCCTCTTTCTTTTTGTTTTAATCCCCACCCGAGGGTTTTTTTCATTGACTCTAAAGAGAAGAGGAGAGAGAGAGAGAAACATTGATGTGAGAGAGAAACATCGATTGGCTGCCTCCTGTAGGCGCCCCAACTGGGGATCGAACCCACAACCTGGGCATGTGCCCTGACCGGGGATCGAACCCACAAACTTTTGGTGCACAGGACGACGCTCCAACTCACAGAGCCACGCCCCAGGGCCAGGCCCCCCCAATCACGACCCATCGGCCCCCAGAGCCAGAGACGGTCTGCTCCCCGAGTGGGGCAGCTCCTCTTCGCAGTGGCTGTTGGCCTGAGGGCAGCGTCTCCGGTGGTTGTGGAGCCGAGAATTCACAAACACCCTTTGCAGTAAAGAGCCTCGAGTTCCCCTTTAACAATAAGCTCGGCCTGGGTGTGTGACTGTCACCTGTGACGCTCTCTTAAAGTAAAATGACGATGGCGCGTACAAGTCTTCACCTTGCCCGGCCGCGGGGCTCAGGGGCTCAGGGGCTGAGCATCAACCTAGGAACCAGGAGGTCACGGTTCCATTCCCGGCCAGGACACAGGCCCGGGTGCGGGCTCCATCCCCAGTGAGGGGCGTGCAGGAGGCAGCCAATCCATGATTCTCATCATTTATGTTTCTCTCTCTCCCTCTCCCTTCTTCTCTGAAATCAATAAAATATATATATATATACACATTTCTTTAAAAAACAACAAAGTCTTCACCTTGGAGGGAAGCACCAGCATTCATTGCCCCACACCTGTGGCGTGTACAGGGGCCACACCTGTGGCGTGTACAGGGGCCCACACCTGTCCCATGTACAGGGGCACCTGTCCCACCCATGTACAGGGGCCCACACCTGTCCCATGTACAGGGCCCACACCTGTGGCGTGTACAGGGGCCCACACCTGTGGCGTGTACAGATAACCCACACCTGTGGCGTGTACAGGTAACCCACACCTGTCACATGTACAGGGCCCACACCTGTCACATGTACAGGGCCCACACCTGTCTCCCATGGGCCACCTGCGTGCCGTTCCTTTTCACCTTCTGCGCTTGGGAGAGCGGCTCGGAGGACAATGGGTTTTGACGTGGAAAGGGGCCCTCATAGCGAAGGCCACAGTGACGGCCTCCCTCTGAGAGGGTGCCCTTCTCCCGGAGCCCCCGTGAGCTCAGGACCAGCGTGTCCGAACCACGGGCCCAAGCGCCATCAGGACTCAGCGCCCTGGCTTTCCCGCTTGATCCCGGCAGGTGGACGAGCTCTACGAAGCCTACTGCATCCAGAGACGCCTCCAGGACGGTGCCAGCAAGATGAAGCAGGCCTTCGCCTCGTCCCCCAACAGCAAGGCCGCCCGGGAGAGCCTGGCCGAGGTGCACCGGAGCCACAAGGAGTACACGGAGGTGGGTGCACCGGCCGCGGCCACCTGCGGGGACCGCCCAGAGCGCACAGCGCCCTGCGCCCATCTCACTCTGCTCTTCACACAGGAGTCTTACCCTTTGTCTCTCTTGCTTTTTTTTTAAAATATGTATATTTTTATTGGTTTCAGAGAGGGAAAGAGAGGGAGAGAAAGAGAAACATTAATGATGAGAGAGCATCATGGACCGGCTGCCTCCCGCACGCCCCACACTGGGGATCGAGCCCGCAACCTGGGCATGTGCCCTGACCGGGAATCGATCCATGACCTCCTGGTTTATAGGTCGACACTCAACCACTGAGCCACGCTGGCCGGGCTACATGCCCTGTTTTTTCCCATTTACACGCACCTCCAAAGTCTCCCATGTATGGCCCCCCGAGCGTTACCCCGAGAGCTGAGCAGGCCGTGGTGGAGGTCACCCCGCAGTCGGTTGTGGTGAGCCCTCCTGCCTGGTGGCGCTGGCGGTTGGCAATGTCCCTCCTGTCCCTGCAGGAGACAAAGAGGCCCGCTGCCCTGGTTTCTGCCTGTCCCCTGGGCCGAGCACATGATGCAGGGAGGTCTGTGCCCTCGGGGTCACCGGATACCAGTGCGTCTGATGAAATGGCTGAATTATTAAGGCAGCGCTGCTCCCCGTCCCCTGGGGCCTCGCTCAGAGGTCAGATTTCCCGGGTGACGTCATCAGCCCGGGAGCGTCTGAGGGACAGTCCCCAGAGGGGCATCTGCCTCAGCCTCTTGGGTGACACGCAGGGTCACTTTGTGGGCTTTGTTTTTGTTTTTGAATATATTTTTATTGATTTCAGCGACGAAGGGAGAGAGAAAAACATCAGTGATGAGAGAGAAACATGGATTGGCTGCCACCTGCACGCCCCTCACTGGGGATGGAGCCCACGACCCGGGCCTGTGCCCTGACCGGGAATCGAACCGTGACCTCCCGGTTCATAGGTCGATGCTCAACCCCTGAGCCACGCCGGTCGGGCTCACGGATTTCTTAATGGTAACCTCTGTAACACGCGTGTCCCCCGCATAAGCACATACACACCGTGACCCCAGCTAAGAAAGGTGAGCCATGCTGCAGCATCCCCTCAGATCCCCCGTGGTTCCACATCCCCCCTATTTGGCCCCACAGTGTCTTGTTTTAGTTTCTTTGTCTTTAAAGTCAGGATACAACCCAGGTCCATGGAACACCTTCCATCCGGTTGTCTCTTTGGTCTCTTTCGTCTACATCCCCCTATGATATTGCCCTTTTGTGGAATTCAGGCCGGTTCTTATAGGATACCCTGCATTCCAGCCCTGGCCGGTTTGGCTCAGTGGTAGAGCGTCAGCCCACGGACTGAAGGGTCCCGGGTTCTGTTCCGGTCAAGGGCACGTACCTGGGTTACAGGCTTGGTCCCGGCCCTGGCTGGGGCACATGCGGGAGGCAACCCATCGATGTGTCTCTCTCACATCGATGTTTCTCTCTCTGTCTCTCACCCTCCTTTCCACTCTCTCTAAGAATCAATGGGAAAATATCCATAAAAATATCCATAAAAATAAAAGAGCATGCCCGCATTCTGGATCGTTGGTTTAGGATGTAATCTAACTTGTTCTGTGCTCACAATGTCCCGGACGCGGAGGCGTGCTCGGGCCTGGGTAGAGCTTGCTGTGAGGAACCCTCCGGGCGGCGGTGGCTCAGAGGGGACGGTCGGTGCGC